TGTGTAGCTCTATACCCTCTGCTGTCACTGCGTGTTTACACATCATTATTCCAGCACTGTTGATCAGTACATGTATATGATTTTCTACAAAATGTTATACAAAACAAAATTTTCGCTTTAAAATCTCAAACTTTTAATAGCCTATAAATAAGATTGCAGGATATAACAATACAGCAGTTCCATGCTTAATAACTTGGGAGTAAGAGTTATCTTCCCATGGGCAAGTCCAGATATTTGTTCTGTTTTTCAATAATAGTGTACAATTGTGTAGCTCTATACCCTCTGCTGTCACTGCGTGTTTACACATCATTATTCCAGCACTGTTGATCAGTACATGTATATGATTTTCTACAAAATGTTATACAAAACAAAATTTTCGCTTTAAAATCTCAAACTTTTAATAGCCTATAAATAAGATTGCAGGATATAACAATACAGCAGTTCCATGCTTAATAACTTGGGAGTAAGAGTTATCTTCCCATGGGCAAGTCCAGATATTTGTTCTGTTTTTCAATAATAGTGTACAATTGTGTAGCTCTATACCCTCTGCTGTCACTGCGTGTTTACACATCATTATTCCAGCACTGTTGATCAGTACATGTATATGATTTTCTACAAAATGTTATACAAAACAAAATTTTCGCTTTAAAATCTCAAACTTTTAATAGCCTATAAATAAGATTGCAGGATATAACAATACAGCAGTTCCATGCTTAATAACTTGGGAGTAAGAGTTATCTTCCCATGGGCAAGTCCAGATATTTGTTCTGTTTTTCAATAATAGTGTACAATTGTCGGTGTATGGGGAATGACATCCTCCATACTCCAGTGGTTATGCTCACTTATGCTCCAGCACCCTGGAATATGTCATAGCAAGTTTAAGGCACGTGGCCAGCTATTTGATTGATAACAGGTAATAGAACCTGACCAAGTTTTCAGTGTATTTTACTGACAGGCGAAATAAGATTTTTCTCTAATTTTGAATCATACAGGATTTTCATTTGAATTCACATTTAGGTTATAACCACTTTATAGCCAATCCCCAATAGGGATTCTTCAAATCGTACCAAAATACAGTACCTTTCTTCATTTCCTCTGCAAATCGACGAATGGACTGCATCGCGCTGAGATCCAGGTACTTGCAAGAAACACTTGGATTGTAGGTTTCTGTGACAATTTTGTCTTTAGCTCTTTCGCATGCTCCCATATCCCGGCATGCCATTATCACACGGGCACCTGTCAACAGTAGATTATTGTGTCATAAGATTCAGATGTAAATTTATTACCTGTATCATGGTACGGTGCCTTAGGGTTAATTGTTTTGAGGCATCGCTATATGTTATCAAAATGATGAAATATAAGAACTAATTGTCAGGGGTTGAATCTAATTATTTTATCAACTACAAAAGTTTTGCTTGCGAAAAAAGACACTCACTTGCCTAATTTTATGTACTTTTTGTCAAATATAACATGAACGAAGAAATGAAGGCCTGAACAAATGAAAGTGAGAACAGAGAGAGTGAAAGACAAACAAACAGAGGTAAATATAATGTATGGGATTGTTAGGGTATTAGACCAAACTTGATAGCCCTTCGCTACAGCAAGACTATGTCAAATATCATGACCATGGACTTTCTAGTTTTTAACCCTTTCACCCCTATGTAACTTAAGTACACTCTACAATGCATTGATCTGGATGAGTCCATTATGGTCTACAGTGGTGAAAGGGTTAAGGTGTTTGATTTTTTTTTATTGAAAAACAGACACTGTGCCATGTGAATAAAAATAACCAAGCAATTTTGTCAAATGCAAGTTATTTTTTTATATACAAATATAAAAAGTAACGCAACTTCTCGTTGCAAAATAGGTAAATCATGACTATTTATATCACTTTTTTCATCCTATTGACTGCAACATTACGATATCGTTAGGTACAAGTGTAGGATGTAGTATAAAGATAGTTAAAGTAGAATTTACATACTGATCATTTCTACGGCACAACAAAATCTTCTCTAATTTTTCCAACACGCTGATATATATAACAATGAACAAATCATTTCAGTTATTACTTTATCAGTTTGTTTTTATATTTTTCAATGTTTCCACATCAATCTATGTCTGATTAATATAGTGCATCTCACTTTCGGTTCAGACAACATAAAAAACGATCGAAAACAGCTTGATCGGTTATATATGATAAATCGCTTATTATGATATTTTTCTCTGGCATATAGAATATCATAATAAGCGGGTTCCACTGTACATCCATATACTAGAAATTAATTATCTTACACCTCAATAAATTCTGAAAATATTTTCTCAAACCTGTGAAAATAAGCTATAAAGTAAAAGGCAAAATATGGATATTTTCGACTTTGTAATATTTGTCGAACTATGCCAAACTATGATTCAGTAAAATTTCTGAGATCCTGAAATCTATTTTGGTCCAAAGGAAATCTAAAATCTAAATGTTACAAAACAAATTCACCAAAGATATTAATTTGAAACAGTGTACTGTTCTCCATAGGATGCTAGCCTCTTCATTATCGCAAAACAATTTTCAACTTAGCAATTGATGCTAAAAAGGAAATATCAAAGTTCTTGGATCCCTGTCCCACTGAACTGTGGTTTTCCCTATATACAGTAACCTCCCCTTAACCTCCGCTTGGTTATAACTGTAGCACAGTTTGGCCAGGACACTTCCATCCAAAAGGAAGTTAAATTGGTTAGAGCCATAATATAATAGTCTGAAGTCCAGGGTTTTAATTCCGGTCTGGTCCCGCTAAATTTTTACATTCAAAACACTGTTGTTAATTATATTTCATTTCATCTTGAATGTTTCTCATAAAAGTGCCATAAGGTATGGCTTTCTTTTAAGAAATGATTTATCAAAGCAATAATCATGCCAGAATAACAGATTCCAACACTTATGTACAGTTTCTGGCAGTGGGACAGGGATCCTTAGTGATATTTACAAATAAGACATGACCTTCTAAACTGATACACTTTTTATTGAATAACTGACCTCTCCTAGCCATGTCGAGGCTGGTTTCCTTGCCGATACCACCATTGGCTCCTGTCACAATCACTGTTTTGCCGGTCATCCTCTCCTCTCCTTTGTATTTCTTCCCTTTAGTGTAATCCCTAAAATAATGGATTAACAATTAGGCATATTCAATATAACTGCATTATACTTTAATTCTAATTCTTCGACAAAGTTTCTTTCTTTATAAACTTTATTCATTTTACAACAATAATTTATGAAACAAGATTTATAAACTTATATCAATCGTTCTTGTTGGACCTGATGGTAGCATGCATGAGGTCTTAATGTGGTAGGAAAATGGAATACCTGGAAAAACTCACATGTTCTGGCAAAAGACCTACATGTATACCTTTTCATGTTCCAGTGGGAAATCAAACCCCAGCCCTTTTGGTGAAAGGTGAGGGTGGCTAAGACGCTGCGCCATCCACCAGGTATCGCTTCAATCTTTTTTCATTTAATTTAATATTAATACAGTGTATACAACATAAGTTAAATGGGTTGTTTGATGGTGCATTGATTAGTTCATTCACCTTCCACCATATGATGGACTGGGTTTGATTCACCGATTTGATGTGAAAACGTATAGGTCAACAACCAGCAACATCCATTTTTTACCGATACTGAACTTATTTCCTCAAGAAGTAAGATCCCATACATGCTTTAATAAAGGCCAGCGATAGTGATTAACTTTCAATTTGGTGAAAACAAATTTTTGCTTTGTTTTCCTCAAGAATTCTTGATTAGTTACATTTTCATAAAATTATCTCAACATTGAGGCATAAAAATTATGTAAAAGTTTCAATGGATTCTGCAGGTTAATTGTGAAAGAGTACAGCCTCCTTCAGCTTAAGTGTCAGATATTTCAATGAGCTATATTTTCATCATCACTTGAGCATTTTTAATAATCCCAAAACCCAAATTAAAGTTTGTTCGATTTGGTATGCAGTAAAACCTTGATTAAATGTTGCTCACTTTCATTGTCAACTTGTTTACCAGCAATGTTCCCTTATTCTATTTTCTTATCATTCCTTTATACAATTCCCTGAATATATTGTCAAATCCCTTATTTTATACCGTTTAAAGTTTTGCTGAAAAATGGTGGGAATATAAAAAGGTTTTAATGTACTGATTTTAGCAATTGCTATAAAGGGCGGTAATCTAGCGGTCTTCCATTTTTCACATTACTTGGTAATGACTATTGCTCCACCTAAGGACCCGACCAAGCTGAGTCTGAAAACACTCTTGGGAATTTCTGGAAACTTGAATCCCATGGTTACATGTAGGCAAGGAGGGAAGATCTGGAAAGAGAACACAATAACTATTACAAAACAAACATTAAAATTACAATAAACCGTAAACTGTAAATGTCAAACGACTCCTGAAACTTTTTGTTCCACAACATATACATACATATAGCAATGCTTTTTAAATGTGTCAATCAGTCTGAGTGCACATATTTTTGTGCAGTCTATTCAAAATTAATGAAAATTTCCACTAGTTAGTCAAATTTTTTTCCTGTTGACAATAATATTAGACATGATATTATCAGGAATTCATGTAAAAATTGACAACATAAATCAAATTGTGGTACTTTTTACATGACATTTGCTTTGAAAAGTTTGTATACGTGTTGTACATGTATGACACAGTAAGAGGAATTCAAGTTAAGTTGCATTGACATTAAAGAAACTTCAGTATGGAAAGTAATGATATTTAAAAACATAACCATGATTTAAACACAGTATGTACCCATTTACATCTACAGTATATTTAAAGCAATACTGTACTGCAAAGGGCCGTTTAGCAGCATAAACTTGTAGGGTAATGTTTATACAATCATTTATTTACACAGGTTATTGTTCAACATATTGAACAATTGATCAACTACTTTTGTTAATATTTATATAATTATCCTATTTTAGAATATTCGTGTGAGTTGAAATACTGGAAGGCCAGACACAGAATGTATCATCAAGACCCTAGTCCGAATTATTCTGACGTTTTATCGACTTTTTAATCGACGACAGACCGATATAAAAAAAAAAGTTGATAAAACGTCAGAATAATTCGGACTACAAGACCCATGCCTGCATTCATGTCAAAAAAAATCCATTCGATGTCATAATTAAAATTCTTTTTCAACTGAATGTATCGGTCTGATAATCACACATCTCATGAATAAACTACACCATATATTTTGAATACCTGTTGGGACGTTTATCGTGTCACTCTTGACATTATTCAGCTGTTATTCACGTGTGTCCTCTATTTTTATTTTACAGGAAATGAAATATTGATATTAAATTTCAAACAAAGTCCGGGCGGTTTCTAGATAAACATTGATTTTAGAAGTTTTTATAAAGATAGGGCCTATGTATAGCTTTGATAATACTCTATCGCTACCAAAAGTTATATAATATCAAATAAATATAACAGTAGCAAATACTTGTATACATAATGTATATATATATTAATATCCGGAATTTGATCTCCAACTGCTGGGTCGTTGAGTTACTTTAACACTTACCCGGCGAGCGGCGAGAGCACCTGCAAAATTCACGAAAATGGTGAAGAAGATGACAATCCCGGGGATGGGCGATATGCCTGATCCCGAATGGATATTTGAGTCATGGTGGCCAATTATTTTTGGTGTCACGATTGGTAGCCTTTACGCGTTCAGGTAAATATAATAACAAGAGCAAATCAACGCGTGTCCAGTCCATGGACGTGTCACTAGGCCTATTTTTTGTTGCGGTTCATTGCTTTTTTTAGGAGGACACCCCGAAAACTTTATGTTGAAAAACTGAATGGACGGTCAGGGCCATTCCCTAAACATGTCTCAACTGTATACCAACACATCATTGTGTATACTCCATATATGATTTATTATAGATTATAGATTTTTTTTAAAGACCCCACGGGGGTGAGCGGGATGAAACTGAGATTTGTCGTCAGATCATCGTGGTCTCGGATAGTAAAGGGAGGTATTTGTCGGAACAAGTAAAATCTGATATCGAAAAATAGATTTTGTGGAACTACGTTTCAGGGAGGAGGAGTAAAACATGTCTGGATTATATTATGAATAACGCTGACTCTAGTAAACAAGCATGGTAAAGTACTTATAGCTCTATGGTCAGGTACGTGTGATCTCACGAAGAAGACGTATAGGCAGTATATCGAGATAAACCACGATGAAAACTTGGATGATATCGTAGGGGAGTTCCGTCTTGTCGAACTACAGAGACAATATGGGAATGCGTTAAAAATAGTCATTCTTGAGTGTCCATTCTTCTCCATATCAATATGGAATAAACACAGAGGCCATCCATCACCGGAAATGTATAAGACTAGTACAGACCTCCTGAGAGTTAAAATATCTCATCTAAATTCAGAGATTCGATGGATCAACTCGACCTAATTACATCTAGGAAGAGTAACAAAGCTAACTCAACAGAGAAGGTCAGTTATAGCAGAGACGTATAAAGCCATATGTGTTATATACGTCTCTGGTTATAGTCTACTAATCGACGGGATACATCCGTGCAAGACTCTAAGTAGGTACTGGCTGAGGAAACTTACAGATCTTGTTATCAAACACTGTAAATCATAATGTGAGAACTGATGTGTCAAAGTGTGAACAATGAAATTGAACCCGATTATTGTACCCATTCACGGACATGTCTAATATTAGACGTTCTAACATCAATATCAGTTGAATATTGTAAAGCTTTAATAAGCCATATCTTGTGATTGCCAGCTGGAGTACTGCAAAAAAGTGTACTAATGTGCCAAACGCTGTGTATGATCTTATGACAAGTAGTGAAATGTCTGGTATTACATATGGAAGAAACCAGATTAAGTGACCTTGAAGTAAATACAGGTGAAATTATACGAGAAGAGCTACGCCAAACTAAAGTGGACCTCATTGACCAAATACAACATGATGTAATAAACCTGTTGGATAGTAGACACAAGGAACAACAGGAAAAGAAGTCAAAGGAATCGAACATAATCCTGTTAATTAATGTACAAGAGAAAAAGAGTGAAAACAAGTACAGAAATAAATCTGCAGATGAGGAGGATATCAAAAGCCTAAGTGTAGGAGTAAAGGGTATAGAAATTCTTGCATCATTCCGTCTCTGGAAACATAATGCTTCGAAAACACGCTATTATAGGAAATAAGTCCCAGCGGAAATCCCTACTAGAAAATGCACGCTTTATACAGACTAAGGCACAAGATAACTTGAAAAGCATTATCCTCACACGGGACCTCACAAAACAGCAGAGGGAGGAAAGGAAACAAAAAATGGAGAAGTATAGAAGGGAAGGAGAAAAAAATGAGGAAAACATCCACGGTGGTCAGACACTAGACAACAGGAACGAACAAACACAGGTACTATCAAGGCAAGTAGGGACTACCCAGCTATTTATGGAGCAACCACACATGGATTGACATTCTCCCCCAACAGCCCGTCATAGACAGGATGGCAAAATTACAAGGTCACAACAGACAAGCAGTTCCCAGAGCTCAACGTACTACACGAGTAGCACCCCTGTCAGTACTCAAAGTGCTATGAACCGTCGCAGTAACATAGGTCAGGCTCTGCTGTTTGGGGATTGCTCCGTCATAGGGTCGCCTATAAGGAATGTGAACACGGCAGCATGGGGTACTACAGGTGTAGTTAAAAACTCAGAACCGATACAGATCACCCGATTCAACTCGAACCCTCAACCAGTGGGGCCACCTAGCCCAATAATGTCTGGAAACATGTCAGAAAATGATGAAATGAACACAAACGTCTATCTGGACTCGACTGTAATATCCGAGGTAGAAAGGACCCGAATATATCAGGAAAGACCACAGGAGCATGAAATCCCAAACATTCCAGAGGACCATACAAATTCCGGGACTCCAACATCACCATTTCTGGAAAGAGTATAGGAAGTTTGTTTTAATGGTAACACTGGGAATACTGTAAATATATTACCAGGCAAAATTATACCAGGAAATCAAATTCGATGTCTGTATTCTAATGTAAATGTTATGACCAATACAAAAAAATCTGAACTAGTGGAACATACGGAGACCTGGACATGGTATATGTCTAACAGAAATGTTTCCAAAAAGCAACTGTCTACAGTTGGACACTAGATTTTATGATGTGGATAACTTTAACTCGTACTGCGTAGACAGCGAACCAAAAAAGTGTGGTATTGGAAAATACGTATCGAGGAACCCAATCAGTGAAAAAATAGTTCTCAATGTGGATGTTGATGAATATGTAGCTTGTTCAATAAACCTCCAAAACAGAGACTCGTTACTAGTATGCTGCATATACAGAAGCCCTAACAGCCCAGAACAAAATAATGAACTCCTATCTGACCTTCTTAGGAAATTGTATTCTCTACATTATTCCCATGTACTAATTCTGGGAGACTTTAATTTTAAGGAAATAAACTGGGAAGTTGGATCAACAACCACAAGGGAAAACCATCCAGCCCCAAATTTCTTGAAACAACGAGGGACGGCTTCATCTATCAACATGTCAAACACCCAACTAGATACTGCGAAGGACAAATCCCAAATATCTTGGACCTTGTCTTCACGAACGAGGAGGAAATGATTGATGACATTATCTACTTACCATCATTAGGAAAAATGACCATTTGACCGTACGTTTCGATATGTGTACCCATAACGCCACCTAAAATGGTACAACTTCCACAAAGGCAATTACATCGAGATGACGCATGACCTGAACAACTTTGATGCTGAGGATCTGAGTAACTGTAATGGAATTTTGGAAGCTTGGGATAAACTTTCTGTCTTCTTGACACATGAAATAAAGAAATGTATACCAGTGAGGAAGATATCTCAACCAAGAAACCAGAACAGAACTTATCTCGACAACGACGCTAAACAAGCGATCAAAAGAAAGAAGCGCCTGTAGAACAAATACCTACATTGCAAAACGGATCAAAACTTCCATAACTACAAACTGGCTAGGAATACTATTGTATCAAGGATAAGGAACTCTAGATATCAGTTTGAGAAAGACCTAGCTGAAAAAATCAAAACGAATCCGAAACTATTTTGGAAATATGTACGGTCTAAAACTAAAACGGCAACTGTCACCAATAGACTGTCAAATCAGGAAGGTCAACTGACCGAAACAGATGAGGAAACCGCAGAAGTCTTTCAACAATTTCTAGCGTGTTTGTCCATAACTCGAACGCACCAATACCTTATCTATCGCCAACAGTTCTACCAGAACACCTAACCGATATCACTATTTCCGAGCCTGTTGTATAAAGGCAATAAAGGAGACTAATCCAAACAAAACACAGGGACCTGATACTCCATCAAAAGGCCTCTGACAATATTGTACAACAGACCATTCAATGAAGGAAAGTAACCTAAACAATGGATAACTGTGATCATAAGCCTTTTTGCAGACGACACACAATTATATTCAAAAATCTCCAACAGCGAAGACCGTTTACTTCTTCAGGACAACATAGACAACATATGTAAGTGGACAGACTACTGGTTAATGAAATTAAACATCCACAATTGTAAACACATGGAAATTGGAAAATTCAGGGGAGATAACCACATCTATAATCTACATTTTCCAGATAGTACAACAGAAATAGATGAAAAAGAAAACGATAAGGATCTTGGCGTCACCTTAGACAACAAATTGAGATTTTCAGACCATGTAAATATAACAGTTACAAATTAAAGGCTTACAGAAACCTGGGTACTGTCTTCCGTACTTTCACATATATGGACGCAGTTATGTTTACTCTATTGTACAAATCACTCTTCAGACCACATTTAGAGTATGGAACATCTATATGGTCCCCAATCTTTATCAAAGTCAAAATCTCCATCGAAAATGTGCAAAGAAGGGCTACAAAACGGATCAAAAATATATCAAATCTACCATATGATGAAAAGCTGCGAAAACTGGGACTGCCTACACTCGAGTATAGAAGGGAAAGAGCCGACCTCATCGAAATCTATAAGATCCTAAATAACATCGACCATGTAGACCATGAACATAATTATGTTTAAACTGGCATCAAATATGGGGACCAGGGGGCATCAAAAAAAGCTGTTCAAGAAACCGTTTCCCCTTGAAGTAAACAAAAATGTCTTCAGCAATAGAACAATAACAACATGGAACAGTCTACTGCTACAGAAATGAACCTAAACAGCTTTAAAACATTACTGAACAACCATAACATTACCAACAGGTCCAAATTCCGGGCCTCTTTTTACAATTAGTACCATGTACCTCACATGTATTTTTAATTGTGTGAACTTTACAGGTCATTTGAGACCAAATCAACAAGTGCGAGCTTTAAACCGAAGTGTTTAAATATACGTAGGTTTCATATAGAGAGAGAACTGTTTTTGTCAAGTATAATATGTGAGCAACAAGACCTATATACCGCCACAACTCATCAATGTGTAAACAATGGACTTTTATCATTTTATGCGCAACTGGACATTATGAATAAGTAATGAAATACAATCAAGACATCTCCAACAGCTAAAAAGCTTACAACGATGTATATAATGTTGTCTCTTCCCCCCCCCCCGAGTTACAGGGGGAAAAAGAGTTAACTCCCCTGAGTCAGTTATGGGGACAGGGGAAGTTTCACCTATCAATTTCCTGAGGGATCACACCCCATGACGTGACACCACGACATATAACGTCACAATCACATCGTATTTGCACAGTTTCTGTGCCGATCGTTTTATAGCACACAACATACTTTATCCTGTGATACCACACCACAGGTACTCACCTTGTATGTCAATACACCCATAAACAGGTCGGGGAAAACCACTAACTTGCATATAATATGTAAACTTGCCTATTATACGCCAATAGGGGTATGGATTTGTTAATAAAAATAGTCAAAATCACTTGAATCATAACTTTTTCAAATTGTTTGTCCAAGTCGCATTTATTCAGTCATGAAACATAAAACAAATGCAAAAATAAACTTTATTTGCATGTGGGAAAGAACCAAAAACAGATGCAATACTTCCAGTAAAGTTACCTCAAGTTTCCAAGTAGCCAACGCTTTCAGTAAACATCTTTTAGCAAAATATTATTTACCTTGTCGTAAAATAATGCGATTTTTATTGACATCTTGCAAAAGTTACTGTTAAAGCGATTTGGGTTATTTTTTAGTAATAAATCCATACTCCAACTGGCGTATAATAGGTGAGTTTGCATATTATACGCAAGTTGTGGTTTTCCCCAACCTGATAAAATAGTATTATATTATTGGTGTATTGACAGATGAGGCGAGTACCTGTGATGATTCTGTTATGGTCCAAAATATACAGAAATGTTCTGGGGGTGGAGGGAAGGGGGATAATTACAGTATGTTGAATGATCCAATACTGGGATGATTTCAACAGAGAGAGACCAGAGTACAAATATGTGACGGTTAGTTTTAGCTGATGAAGGCTAGGCTACCTTGAATGCCTCAGGCTTGTTGATGAGGACTGTCGACTTTCGTTGGTAACTGCAGATAGCAAAAGAAGGAAATGTTCACAATACTGAATAGATACTTCTAATTTGTCTTGTTTTTTTCTGACATTCGAAATCAGGAGAACTCCATGCATCTTGCTTTTTGCTCAAATGATTCATAGCTGTTAAACCTCCCTCATTAGGAGTGAGACTCCTTCATTTTGACCAAAATTTACCAATCTCCCTCGAAACTCACACAAACTCAAAAATCTACATCCCGTGGTCAAATAATCTCGTAGTAACTGCAGGGTGTGTGTAATGATTATAACAAGGGTGTCTGAATCAATTAAATGAATGCTTTTTGAATTGTTTTGACTTTGATACATAAAAAGGGCAAGACCAATTGATTAAAGCAGTTTCAGTCGCATTTCATGCTCTTTCTCCCTCGTTGGAAATGTGGAATGAGGAAATCTCCCTCATTGGAGGTTTCAGAGGTTGATACCTATAATGAATTGATTATTTTCTTATCTTAGAACAATACTCACATTTAACACTGTTTTCTTATATAGAGGTCATTGTGAGTAGATTTTAGACTTGTTCGCTTTGTCTCCTGTAAAAAAAATGAAAGGTTTATTTATGAATATATCTATCTTTATTTTTAGACAATACATGAGAGGGGCCAGATGTCTGAGTGAAGCTAAACTTGAAGGGAAAGTTGCCATTGTGACAGGAGCAGGGTCTGGGCTTGGAAAGTTTATTGCAGAAGATCTAGCTTCAAGAGGTAGCTGATTTATTTTGATAGCTAGGTGTAGATAACACAAGTCTTATTTCAAATGTCACCCTGGTAAAATGCTAGCGGCTTCCTACCGACTCGGCTAGGGAGAATATCTCTTTAGTTCATTTGGTAGAGTGTAAGGCTTGTAAGCCAGAGCTCATGGGTTCGACCCCTAGTGGGGGCATTGAAAATATAATGACTCTGTAACACACATGCGTTCGCTAATAATACTGGATGTTTCACATTTACCAGATAATTAATCAGACATGTGTAGTTTGTCCCTTCAGGTTACAAAGATCTTGTAATTAGTCACCTTACCAAGAGTTATATGAATTACGTTTCTGGCCAATTGAATATGACCAATCTGGTAATTCCACAGAAAGCATATACAAAATCTGCTTTGGTAATTTGAAATTGAATATGGCAAGTCTTTGTTTAACAGCTAGACCTGTCTTATCTGACACCCCTCAAGACTGATCCTGTTAGATTAGACAGGTCTTACTGTAATTGGTTCTCTTCATTAAAAAGATGGATTACATATTAGATTATTCAGGATTTAAGAAAATGCGAAGGTCAGATATTAAGTCACTGTTTAAAACGCTATCTATAATTTTGATTGTGATAAAACCATGATGACTCAATAGTATAAATCTATTCACGGAAGTGGAGGTCCAACCTCAGTAGTTTAAGTAAAGGGTACCACTACATCATTTATAAACTGAAGAAAGAGATCCACTCAGTTTTGTTTTATTTGGAGTAGTCTCCCTTTTATGTATAGAAGATGAACCAAACAAAAGGACTTGATTTTGGCAAAGAGTAAATTTTCCTGTCAAATTATTCACAGGTTTTGCAGTCCATATATTGTACACATTTTAATGCCTTTCATTTATAATTCCCGTGCGGCAACATTGACAATTTGTAGGCTTTGCAATGTAAAGGTCCTGTGCTTGACCCTTGCTTTTTTTCTGTTTCTTTTTATTTATTCCTATTTTTAAACATTCAAATTTTGAACAACCATAATTCTATAAAATATATCACAAAATCTGATTTTTATTGAATACTTCTTTGAAAAGAACTTAAGCAAATATTTCACAATAATGACAATGGTAATAAATTAATAATACCGTTTCACTTATTGGTACCCTTTAGCTTAAGTTTATTTTGTCAGTATTTAATAGTCCCCAGTTACCAAGGAAACCAGTAAATGGTGTCATAAATTGATCTATATTTGATGATATTATGGTTATCAATATTGTATTACAGGGGCTCGAGTATACCTAGCCTGCCACACATCAGAACAGACAAAGACAGCTGTGGAAAGTATTAAAGAAAAATACAAGAAAGCAAATGTGGTGGGCCTTGTATGTGATCTTGCCTCTTTTAAGTCTATAGAGGAGTTTGTGTCCAGCTATAGAAAAAGTAAGTTCTCCCAGGACAGTGGAATCCTATTTTGTGCTTCATCAGTAAAAGACCAGGATAACTAAAAGTAAATCCTTTACTGAATATGTCAAGGATATTGAGTTCAAGTAAATCTTATATAGGGTGGTCGGGTCGTGCAGTAAATAACAAACCTGCCTTTCACAAAGGCGACTGGGGTTCGATTCCCCTAATGGACATAAAGAGTACGGGGTTAATCTGCCCAACCACGTGGGTTTTCTCTGGGTACTCTGGTTTCCTCCCACATTAAGACCCCATCGTACTAATATCCAGGCCAACAAGAGTGATAATATAAGATGAACTAACTCGTTTCATAATTGTTGCAAAATAAATAAAGTTTATGAAATCTTATTTCACAACAGATCAGCAGTAGTGTTGGTATGTAGCATTTATACATTTTTGTACTGGTATATGTGTTTGTTCTCAAATTGGGGAGCCCTCTATTTCACATCCAGTCAACAATTTACGCATGAATGGGTCATTTGAGATCTCACAGATTTTGGCTTGTATTTCTCTCATGTATATTGGTCCGTATAACTGAGACTGAAAATGCTCAATTAAACAATGGATCGTTCTGGATTAATTATTGTCAGTTGCGAAACAGATGCTAAAATAGAATTGAGTTATTGCATAGAACATAATGATTTGTGTTCAGAATGTTACTTGTTTTGCTTGTATTTGGTAACAGTGTAATGCTATCATATGATGCAGTTGCTGGTTTTAGATGATTCTTAGAGACTGTTAAAATATTTTCTTTGTTTTTTTGCACAGAGGAGGAAACGTTGGACCTGCTAATTCACAACGCTGGCGTAATGATGTGCCCATTGGTTCAGACTGAAGACAAGTTTGAAACTCATTTTCAGGTCAACTATCTAGGTAAGGAATTCTTCATAACAAGTTAAATGCTCTATTTGGCATCTTCTCCAACTGATCTCTTCAACCATTAAAACTTGAAGGGATGCATTGTTAATTAAAGTTAAGCTCATTGATGCTACATGACGGATATGAAGTTTTCTCTATCCAAACAGACATGAAGGTATGGAGAAAATGAAAATAGAACAATAGTGACATCTTGCATTTTTAAGACAATTTCATTTCAGTTCAGTTTATCTGAGCTGTTGTCATTGTAATTATCACAAATCATGACTGTTCCTAAGGGGGAAAAATGAGAGAAAAAGCTTAGTGTTTAATATCTTTTATTCAACCTTTTTTTTCACTTTGCAAGAGTAAAACAAAATGTGAGATTGAAATGAATAGGAATACAGTGTTCTATTTTATTTTCTCCAGGTCCATTTTTACTGACCCATCTGTTACTGCCACTGTTGAAGAAGGTGGAGGGAAGCCGCATCGTTTGCCAGACAGCTCCAGCTTATAGCCTTGGCAAAATTGACTTTGACGATGTCAACTATACGGAACGGGAGTACGTCACAAGTAAAGCGTACTCCCAGAGCAAGCTAGCTCTGGTTCTCTTCTCTCTTGCTCTCAGCCGACAGGGTAGGTAACTCTTCACAGAAATACCAATGAACATTCAAACCATATGCTTAACTTTGGGATACTATATACATGATATTCCGTCTTTGCGTATTGCAGAGTTATCTTCTCTTGGGAGCAGGTATTGATTGTTACGTCACTTTTTTGTGAGAGTAACGTCATCAATTTTTGAGAAAACAACGTAATTTTCTCGCACAAACCAATGACGTAACAATCAATACCTGTTCCCAAGAGAAGATAACTGCAATACGCAAAGACGGAATATGTCTCAATCTGCAACATGTGATTTGATGCAGTTTTTTGTAATTCTTCGGATTAGTATTTCAAATACAGTCAAACCTGTGTAAGTGGTCACTTACGTGAAATTATGATGTTGGCTGCTTAAGACAGGTAGCTGGTTAATCAAGGTTTAAGTTTAAAAGGATATACATTGTAATACGAAATGTTTTGTAACAGCTATCAAAAAAGTTTACAAAGAGCTTAGTTCGTTTAAGTTTTTAATTATAAAATGTTGATGAACATCTTTAAAATTATTCCTTTGCCAGTACAAACATGCACATAAATAATGACAGGTGATCGATTATAACAGCAGGTTTGACTGTATTTAAAAGTCAGTTTGCAATTATTTCTGTCTTTAAGACAGTTATACAAGTTTTAAAGCAGGGTAATATTTGAATGACAGAATGAGATATTGTCATTTCTCCAAAAAAATAAAAGTAACATCAATGTCTCATCTATCGTGCAGAAAAAAGTTGAAGATTAGAAATATTCATAAAAAGAAGATTAAATGAAATACTGAAAGTTATGTGATTTCTTGTGTTCCCTTCTAATCTACTATTTCATTAATATAACAAAAAGATGTGGTGAGTGACAAAGTTTACTTTGAGTAAATTGAATGCTTGATTTAGAGACTTGTTCTGTAGAATTACTTTCTTTAAGTGAGATTATCATCATTGATACTTAAAACTGTTGTTTGACCACTTTACAGGCCTGGTGGTAAATTGTGCATTACCGGGGATAGCCAACACCAAAATCTACCGCCACCTGCCTTTCCAAAAGAACTCTGTTCTTGCCATCTCCTTTGCCCCAATTGTCTGGTTCTTAATGAAGTCTACTGAAGATGGAGCCCAGACTGGTCTTTACTGCGCATTGACTGAGCATGCTGGCAAAGTGTCCGGCAAACTTTTCAAGTAGGTGCCACCTTTATAAAACGTAATCTTATGTTAAATTGGGGTTATGATACTTCATTAAAATTTCCACATGAAAACTTCTTAACAAACCATGACAGATATTTCATTTGTACATGTATCAGCAATGTGAATATATCAACATTACATTTGTTTTGAAGAGTCAAAAGGCAAAAATCCTCTTTAACCATAGTTTTAATGTGAAACAAATAGAGGTTGAACGGCATGAAGATTCAAAGAATATTCGTGTAGGTAAACAACATTCATTGAAAAAATGCTGTTAATCAATATATTTCAATTGAATAATTATAGACATTAGTAATCTAAATAAATGCATTCCCTATAAATAGAAAATGAAATTTGTCACAGGATTTTGTTAAGATATTGTGATGAACTTCAAATGGAAGCTGCAAATTCATATCAGCCTAATATCAAAAATATACAAAAAATGTCCTGCATTCTATTGCAATTATGATCAGTTGTGTGAATATCATAGAATACTGTTGATACAACCCTATCAAGGTAGCCACTGTTGTATCAGTTAATTAATGTTTCATTACAATCAAACGACTTAACATTATTACAGGGAATGTGCTGCAATTGAAGTGGAGGAGAATGCCAGAGATGAAGAACTACAGGACAAGCTGTTTGCTCAGTCCCTCAAGTGGATAGGCAAGGACAAGTTTGGAGAGGAAAGCTAAATGTTACTGGCCTTAGTTAAACACACCATGTACTTTACGAAAATGATATCCAACATCCCCTAGTGACTGTTTTGTGTACCCCAGTAAATAATGAAAGTAAAAAGAGAGGAATGCTTGTGACTTGGTAAAATAAATGGACACTAATATGGGTGAAAATAGATTGAAAGATAGGTATATGATAGTGATTGATTTATATATATACATATTTAGTGCTTAAATGTCTGTTAAAATATCTAAATAAGTTAGATGGTAACTCTTCCTGAAAATGTTGTCAGCTAAAACGTAACTCTTCCTGAAAATGTTGTCAGCTAAAACGTTCAATCAAAGCATTTTAGAGAATTGTTTTCTTTAAACAGATAGGGTGCTATACAAATATTTCATAATATTTTTTTGAGTGTTTGTCCTAGAACCTATCGTTTGATATAGTCAAACCCAGTCAGATCAAAAACATATCCTACACCTTATGCATATAGGAAAGGCGGTAGAAGGATTTTTCATTGTCATTATGTGCCAAACCTGTAATCAGGGGGCTGTTTGTTTATGCGGAACAACTTGTCTTTCCGTTTATAAATATAACATTTTCGGGTATAAATCCTGGCAGACCTGCAAATGTTTATGCAGGCCTTGCAAGGCTTGGTCAAGGCTTGCCTTAAAGCAGCGTCAGATTATTAGGTCCGACCTTATTTAATAAACAAACAACTTTGGTCCAACAGGTTCAACCATTTGGATCGCGATAATTGAAAACGGCCAAGGGACCTGTTCGTTTATGAGAAACAACCGGTTTGTCTGTTTATAAATGTAATAAATGTATAATCCTGGCAACTGGTAAAACAGCCCTGGTCATTTAAGGGAGACCATGCTGTTGGCTGCTTTAGACAGGTGACCGCCTATCCCAGGTTAAAGTAGAAGATTTAAGAGGATCTTATATTAAATCTTTATTGCTGTACTGAATTTGGGTAAAACTTTTCTTAATGGAAGTTGATTTGAGGTGCAATTGTTGAACTTGAAGGAGAAAAAGAGATTGTTTGTGGATTTTGATTAAACACTAGGTTATTCAAATACAGCAAGCCAAGCTTCAAAATATATGAAGAGATACTGTAGAATCATTTATTTTTGTGGGGTTAAAGTTTCGTGGTTTTGATATACTAGCCTGTTTCAAGGACATTATATTTCGCTGATTTCTGATTTTCCCCTATCTATATCATACCAAATTTATGTATTCGTGGAGAATTAATTTCCTGGTTTCTTGTTGTCCACGAAATAAATGAAATTTAATGTTTTTACAGTAATCATTACATTAGAATACTTCATTTGTTGTTAGAAGTATATGAGATTAGTATACATGATATCTTTGTTATAAGTGATGCTGTAATTCTGTCTACATATTTACTTAGTTATTAAATCCTTATATTCTTTCATAGATGATCCCCTCATTTGCAAGACTAATACAGTAACTGTCTACCAAGCGGTTTGCTTTGCCATTACAAATTAGCAAATGTGTAAGGAACTACAGTGTTATTTGTCAAAATTGCATCTCATAATTGTGATGACTACACCATCAGGTATGTTTACCCTGTTGAAGTGTTTGTATAGAATTGCACTGTGAACATCCATTCCTTTGTTTGTCAAAAATATTACATGTCCATTATATAGAGTGTGCATTATGTCAGATATATTGTATGTTTATTTAAACACCATTTACTTTGTTTATCTCATTAATAGTACTATATGTATCCTATTAGTTTTATATCAAGCACTGCCATTACCATATATATTAACCAATTTCTTACATTTAATCATTATAAAATTGATGCTGATCTTTATACAGAAACCACACCGATCTGGATTGGCAACATTCTAACACATTGTTGGTGCACTTTTTAGGTCACCTGAGCTTTAGCTCAAGTGACCTATTGCTATCCGTTTTCGTCCGTCGTCGTCCGTCGTCCGTCGTCCGTTAACATTTTACATTTCAAACTTAAAGTCAAGTTCTGCTGGGCCGATTGAACTGAAAGTTGGTAGGAATGATC